AAAAAAAAAAAAGAACCCCGGGCTGGATGCAGGCAGGTCACCCAACCTTCTTGTGGGGGCTTTTATCCTGATGTTGGAATAATGTTTCAGTGAGGGAGACAGGCAGGAGAAAGAGAAGTAGGATGAAAGCCAACATCAAAAGGTCTCAGACCCAATTCTAAAAGGCTTTTCTGGAAAAGCCCACGAGATGAAAGTCAGGCTTGTTCAAAAAGTCAGAGATGGGGTGAGTCAGTGTGCAAAGTGCATTTGTAGATGCAAGCGGCCCATAAATGACTTTGCTTGGCTGTGGGCAGGCAGGAAGAGAATTTGATATGCTTCTAACTTCGGCTGAATTCTGCCCTGCGGTGGAAGGAAATTTCCCCCCCGCCTTCCTGTTAAAGCCCCCGCTGGTCATCACCACCAAACAGCCCTTGTGGAACTTCATTAACAACCACGTGAGAGAGAGCCCTCACCCGGCTTACTTCCACTGGATCCCCGTCTCGCTCATCAGTATCAGACTCTTGCTACAGGCTCCTTCCCATCCCCGCAAGCCCCAGCACACAGTTCTGTTCTGTATCCAAAAATAAAAAATGCCACTGAAAGCACAAGGGAGGGGGAATAATCGAAAGAACATTGTGTCAGGGGTCCTCAGGTGCGGGTCTCGAGCAGCTCGCTAGTTAATGCACTGGTTTCCGACTCTAACCAGGCAGCAAAGTTCCTGCAGCTTATTAGAAACCAAATATGCTTGCCCATGCTGGGACTATTTCCGGAAGGACACCTAAGAAACTGGCCGCCTCTGGGGAGAACTGATTATTTAGCGGTTTTTCAAATTTGCTATTTTATTTTCTTGTATTATAAAAAAATCACATATTAAGCTGTAAAAAAAGCATTTTTTAAAAAATGACACGTCTTGGAGATCTTTAATGGCACAGATTTACCCTTTTCTTTCAGTTGGCTGCAGTTTTATTTGACCCAGTGTTTCTCAACCTCAGCACTGCTGACATTTGGAGCTGGGTAATTTTTGGTAGGGGCTGTCCGGTAGGATGGTTAGCAGCATCCTGGTCTCCCCCCACGAGATGCCA